TTCTTGGGTCTTATTGCAAGAAAATTTGAATACAGGAGTAAAGATCTCTTGGTTCAGTTACAAAAAACTTTGGTGAGACTGCTCTTAAGAGTACGGTCTGTAGTTTTGACGCTTTACAAAGCTAAGGATATAATTGTCGCAGACAATGTGCAGTGGAGGCTCACCAGACAAATTCTTGGGAAGGCATGACTATTCAATGAGGAGAGATTGAGGAGTGTGGATCTATATTCTATAGTGCTGAGAGAATGAGAGTTGATCCCATTGAAACTTACAAAATTATGAAAGAGTTAGATAACACAGATGCAGAAAGGATATCTCACCTTGCTGGGCGCCTCAAATCAGGGAACACAGTCTTTAAATAAGGTCTATATCATTTAGTACTAAGATAAAGAGGAATTTCTTCACTCAGATGATGGTGTATCTTTGGAATTCTCCACCCCAGTTTAGTCATTGAGTGTGATGAAGACAGATCAATAGATTGCTAAATATCAATGACATCAAGAGATAAGGGGAAATGTGTGAAAATAGTTTTGAGGTAAATGATTACACATGACCTGGAACAGTGAAGGAGGCTTGAAGGCATGAATGGCCTACTCCTACTCTATGTTCCGACTTCTTAATTATCCATTCCCTTCTTCTGAGTGTGATAGGCAACTAACAGAAAACTCTGAGCAGTTTGATGTTTTTTATTGACCTTGTCCAAACTTATTTAAATTGGTTTCTTAGAATCAGCAAAGGAGACAGTACCATCCCATCACTTAGCAGCAAATTTGACAAGACTGTGAAGTTCAAAGAATAATGTTCAAAGCCAAACCTGCCACTGTTTATCTCTCATCTCCACCTCTTCCTTGTGTCGAATAGTTTTAAAGCTGAAGTTCTTGACTATCCATATACTTAATTTAAGAACACATTTTTGTCCATTCCTTTAGAATGTTACTCCTTACCCTATTACAGTCCTAGATGTTGCATCATTGAATTTTTGAAAGAATAGCAAGTGATAATTCTAATGAGCCACTGGGAATTGGCTAAACTTATCTGATCATTGGTCTTTCCAATTGCTGTAAGGAATGCCATTAAATTAGACATTGCATTTTAGGAAGTGTGACAGCAAGCTGGTCAGCCAGAGCTGCGCAAGGTCAAATGCATAATAAATATTTCCAAGCTGTGGCCTATGAAGACAGCAAGGCAAGTATGGATTATTGGTCATTTTGATAATGAGTAAGCAGAATGGATGACGGCGGGTACAAAGTTAATCTGTAAATGAAAGACTTATATTTGGAACATGATTAGAATGTAAACACTGATTTTCATTGAAATAATGTAGGTACATCGTGAAATCTTATTAACTTCAAGGAAATTATGATATTGGATTAAAGAATCTGGATTAGAACAATGTCCTCGGAGCTTCCACGAGGAATTTCCACAATATAAAGTGACCATGAAATAATATGTTTGCCAGGTATCATAACTGAGAATCAGACAGATAGAAGCTGATTTTGCATGACCAATTAAGATAGAAAATCAAACACCAGGCACAGCAAAGATCCAGAAGTGCCACTCCCATTAGTGTTTCTGGCTGTTTTCAGCAGTGGACAAATGGGGGCAGGTTGGCAATGACACGGTTGCTGCAGAAATTGGTATTTCAAAATTTCAGCTATTTTCAGTGAGGTGGCCACATTTTGGATGTATTTTCAAACTTACACTGGGTAAATGGAGGTATGTAGAGACATGAACCATGGATTAAAAGGTGTCAGAAGTCTATATTAGGAATGAAAATGTTACTGCCCCCTATGCATCTTGAAATGCTGTAGCCTAAATTATACTTTATTATGCTAAATGAGAAATATATCTATGTTACAATTGGAAACAGTAAGTGACGATGAAATACTGTGGTTGTCAGATAGTTATTTGTGATGACTGGCAAACTATTACACAAAAGAACTGCATTTTTAGGTGGATATCTCTTCACATACATGAGAATAAAGCATCCAATGAAGAAAGAATTTTTCTGCATTGTGTGGTATGGAATACATTGCCCGGTGTCAAATCCAGAGCTATTCGTTAAATCTATGGCTCTCAGAATGGAGGCCTTTTAACCTGTCCTCAGCATTAGCTTGCCTTTATCTTTGCCTCTGCTGTAATGAAAATCCAAGCAGTCTGGACAAAGACTGGATTGGAAAAGTGGGAAAATTCCCAACTCCAACTTCGATGATGATGAAAATTGATGTCTAGAGTTTGATCGAAAGAAGGCTAATTCCCTTCTTCATTTTCAGTGTCCAGATAAAGTAGGTGTTCATCACTTAAAGAAGCATGAGGGATCCTGAAGCGTTTTTCTTCTTTGTGTCAAGTAATCTTGGTCTTTGTGTATTGAGGGGGAATGTGCCAGCTTAAGGCTAAAAGCAATGTATACTGTGTCTCCCAGATTCATATTATCAGTACAGCATGCAAACTTGGAGCAGTTTCTGAAGGGTAACAGTTCCGATCTTCAAGAATTTTCTGTAAATCCCTCTCAAAATTAGACAATATTATTGTACACTGTATAATTTTGAGAGGGATTTATAGAACCAGCTTGGTCTTTGGTTGTCATGAAATAATATCTCCTTCTCCCTCATACTAACATATACACAAGACAATATTGGATTTGAATTCCCCATTTATTTGAGACTTTAATGCATTGGCTTAGCTCAGAGGAAGATTGGGATTATTAAATATGACCACAATAAAATGTTTTATTTTTTCAGAGCCAAGGCTGTTTCTCTTTAGTGTTTTGGAAGATTTCACTGCAGTATTGCTACCCTGATCTGTTTCCTCAGGTGACTGCTAGCAACTGCTTTTACTCTTCTACTAAAGTATCTATGTACAAAAAATATCAAACTCTGAATTTCTGTAGACTAATTAATTTCAACTTGTAAATGAGACAAATAACATCTTGGTGCTTTCGCAAATATTTTTAACCTTCATATTGGTACACTGGCACGGCTCAGTGGTTAGCACTGCAGCCTCACAGCGCCAGTTCAATTCCACCCTCGGGCAACTGTCTGTGTGAAATTTGGACATTCTCCCTGTGTCGGCATGTGTTTCTGCCAGGTGCTCCAGTTTCCTCCCACAGTCCAAAGATGTGCAAATTAAGTGGATTGGCCATGCTAAATTATCTGTAATGTCCAGGGACATGCAGGCTAGGTTGATTAACCATTTGGAATTCAGGATTACAGGGATAGGATAAGGAATGGGTCTGGGTGGGAAGCCCTTCAGAGGGTCGGTCTGGACTTGATGGGTTGAATGGCCTGCTTCTACACTATAGGGATTCTATGATTCTACGAATTGTCCTTCTTTAGCACTAACTAACCCCAATTCTGTGGGTAAAGCACTTCACGGAGAGATTGCAATTAAACACACAGCCGATGATATGAATGTTGGTGGAGTTGCGGACAGCATGGAGGGCTGTTGTAGGTTGCAACTGGACATTGACAGGATGCAGAGCTGGGCAAAGAAGTAGCAGATGGAATTCAATCCAGAAAAGTATGAAGTGATTCATTTTAGAGGGTCGAATTTGAATGCAGAATACAGGGTTAATGGCAGGATTCTTGGCAGTGTGGAGGAACAGAGGGATGTTGGGATCCACTTCCATAGATCCCTCAAAGTTGCTACCCAAGTGGATAGGGTTGTAAAGAAGGTGTACGGTGTGTTGGCTTTCATTGGCAGGGGAATTGAGTTTAAGAGCCACGAGGTTATGTTGCAGCTCTATAAAACCCTAGTTAGACAACACTTGGAATATTGTGTTCAGTTCTGGTCGCCTCATTATTGGAAGGATGTGGAAGCTTTAGAGAGGGTGCAGAGGAGATTTAACAGGATGTTGCCTGGACTGGAGGGCAGGTCTTATGAGGAAAGGTTGAGGGAGCTAGAGCTTTTTTCATTGGAGTGAAGAAGAATGAGAGGTGACTTGATAGAGGTGTACAAGATGATGAGAGGCATAGTCAGAGTGGATAGCCAGAGACTATGGAAATGACTGTTACCAGGGGGCATAATTTTAATGTGTTTGGAGGAAGGTATAGGGGAGACGTTAGAGGTAGGTTCTTTACTCAGAGAGTGGTGGGTGTGTGGAATGCGCTGCCGGCAGTGGTAGTGGAGTCAGATACTTTAAAGACTTTTAAGCGATTCTTGGATAGGCACATGGATGATAGTATAATGTCGGGTATGCAGGGTAGGTTGATCTTAGAGTAGGATAATGGGTCTGCACAACATCGTGGGCCGAAGGACCTGTACTGTGCTGTACTGTTCTATGTTCTAATTGTTAAAGAGCAGAAGGCAATTTGTGTCTGCACTTGCTGTCCAAATGAGAATCATGACTTTATAGTACCCTTGTGAGATACAATAATAATCACAGCTAAAAAACAGTACAAAGAAACCAAGAAGCAACAAAATTTGCAGATTTTGCAAGACTCAATTTCAGTCAGAAGTTCTATTTTTATTCAGAAATCGCCATCAATTGACAAATAAGATTATACTGGGAAGGGAATTTGACGGCAGTGCACACATTCAGATTTGGTGGGGTGGGGGGTGGGGTGGCGAAGGAGGCAGCAGGGTGGTAATTACTACTGTTCATGTATTGTCACCAATTCAATAACAGGAAAGGCTCATGAAACCAAAAATGAGTTGCATGATCAGATAAAATTGAGGGAAAAGCATTAAACATCAGGTGTCTGTCTTTCTTCAGGCAATGCTGTAGGATTATTTATCTCGAATCATTTTTCATCTAAAAAGCACATAACCTTTAAGGCTGTAACACTAAAGTGCCAGTTTGATAAAAGTATTTGAACCCACAACCAACGGACTTGAAGGCAACAGTGCTACCAAATAGGCCAAGCTAAAATGTCCAGTGATACATGACACTCCTTGAGTAATTAGATTTTAAAGAAAAAGGCAAAGTTCAAATAACAAATTCAATCATGCACACAACATATACCATTCAAACCATTGCATAACTATTGTTGGATACATACCAATGCACAGTGGTGGTGGATAGTTCCATCGGCGAACCGTTCCAGGCATACAGGAAATATGTGAGTGCCCCTATAAGAATAAACAAAACAATTGATTTTTTTTAGTGACAGTTCATTTGAAATATACAAAGAGATCGCACTGTGTTACACAAATGAGGTTAAATGCTTGTCAATAAAGTTCAGACATACACTTGAATACCATTAATTATTTCACAATATTTGTTTGCCTTGCTCCCTTAAACGCCTTAATACTTAGTATTCTGTTAACAGAACTAGATACTAACAAATTTCTCCCTTTTCATAAACAAGAAAACAATTCATAATAAAAAATGGAAATTATTATATAATGCATGTTGCATTATGTAATCTTGAACGTTATATTCCAAAAACCTTGAAAAATTTCAATCAGACTACAACATGAATATTTCTTCGTTTTTACAATTCATTCTAACACAAGGGATCCCTGTTCAAGGACATCCAACAATTCTTATCAAAGCAAGCATTTCTTTTTTGCAAAACAAACCAATACCTGATTACTTGCATCAAACCATTTTGTTTGTGAAATTTCTTTTATTTCTATTATATTTTTAGAATAACAAGATCAATCCTTTAAAATCTTCTCTTTAACACTGTCCAGCAAGTGCACATTGTCCCCAAGCAAATAATTATCAATACTGCATACTATAGGCACATTCTTTTCCCCAGCTGACCTTTATGTTGGAGTTTCTTCAAAATACTGAATAAATACATAGCTATATTTGCTGCTTCAACCAGCACAAGTATCTCTTCAACTAATTACTCTTTTTCGCCTTTCTCGATTCCCAAGTTAATGGACATTTGTCATTATCGTCTCACAAAAAATATAATGAATTCAGCTGCGTTTTTAAAAAATTATGAAAATTAACACGAGGCATCACCGAAACAGTATAATTTCACTTCTTCCAGGCCACTTTCAGCTGAAAGCTGAGTGTGCACTGTTTTAAGCTTAACTTCTTCAATGTCTTATTTGCCATCAGCACTTCTCCGACACTTGTATATTTCAACATGGTACTTAATTCTAATATATCATAGCATGCATTTGGTCTAGTTTATGCACGTGATCAGATTAATTGCCCGATTAAATTTCTCAACTCGTCTGCTTCTTCCTTAGCTCTAGAGTTTTCCTTTTGAGAACATCAAGTCCAGCTTGTTGGGATCCTATGAACATTCTTTAGGTAATACTGTTGATTCAAAGTTTCTCCCAACATTGTCAATTATCCGATTCTATATACTTGAAAGATCCTGAAGACTGACTTCTAATTTTAAATTCTGCCTGAAGCCAATGAATTAATACTTTTAAATTCCGTATTGCTATCTCACTAAAAACAACGCAGATAAAATGACTGAAAGTTTCTCTCAATTGTACCAATAAAACACGGCAGGGTTTGCTTTTCACTGGACATAACCCAATTTTAAGATGACAGAGCTTACTAAGCAGTACCAAACTGTAGAGGCATCATTTCAGCTCAAAGTATATTTATTTAACCTCCATCATGGCCCCACAGTGCTTGCAGATGTTTCTGCAAAAATGCTGTTTTACCATTAACTGACGCGTGTCCCCATGCATTTCAAATGAACAAAGCCAAGAAAGTCTTCAAAATTGCTTTTCCTGCTGTACGTGTATCTAATGACATCTTGGTCTCCAAGTTTCTTCAAAACTTCATTCCATGTTCTGTGGAAGTGCCTTTTCTGTGCTCTTCATCAGTGTGTTAGGCCTGGCCGTCCCCTATTTAGAATCTTTGTGTGCACTCCCAAATTCTCTTCAGTTTTATAATTCTTGCTGTTTGTCTCATTTTATTAATTTTTCTTCCAATTAGTCCATTGACTTCAAGGCTTCACAATTGCATTGGCTTCTGGTCCTGGTAGTATTCTTTATCTGTACTATTTTTCTTAACCTTGTTGATACCTTCTACGTTTTTCTGGATTGCTACAGTTTAACCTTCCCTTTCTATTAAAAATATGCCTTTCCACAGTTTGTGACTTTTTTCTTGGAGCATGTTCACTCTAAGATGCATTGTTTAATCTCACGGCTCATTTTCCTGCCTTCTGTCTTTCAACTTCATATTCCCAATCCAAGGGCTGAACCTCCTGTCTCAATGCTATACATTCAGCTAGCTTTTATATTTTCCAGTGGCCTTCCTTGTTCTATTTATAGTTGTGATAGTTCTCCAGTGCCTGGCACCTTTTGGTAAATACTTGACGTTGGTACCGATTTCTGGAAGCTGTCCTTTTGGACTGAGGGCCTCATTTTGATCATCAAAACTGATCTGTTCATCATCTGATAAACCGTTCTTTGGAATAGTCGCATTCTCCTAGTAGTGTAACATCTGGGTATGAGGGGTATTTGCGTCTTTGTTATTCTCTGTTACTTATTAAGAAGCCCTAAACAGGTAACCCACACCAAGCAACCTTGAAGAGAATAACCAAACATTTTAGTTTCCCTGCAATTATTTTTCTGTCATTACCAATAACCTTTCTTGGACCTCTCCATCATTTAGCCCTCTCTCTCATACCAAAAAGCCTATGTCCCTGAATGGAACTGGTTTCTTATGGCCTTACATTCTAATGTAAGTCTTGCTGAATTCTTTGAGACTTCAGCTTTAATGAAAGTCTTTCAGCTTGAGAGTTGGGCATGTACATGCTTTGAAATAATAGAGCTATCCCAACCTGAAGGCTGATCACTTATTATTATTTGAATTTTTGGATTTTTTCCAAAGGATGATTGACACAGAACATTCTCTGGCCATCTGCAACAAATTCATAGCATGTACACATTTGTGCTGATGATAATTTAGTTCAGCTGATCTGCCAAAATGTTACAAACTATTTTCTCCATTCACAAACTCTATTGCTAAATGGGCTTTCTGTTCTTGCTTTCATAACTACCAAGTTCATATTTGCACACACATCTCGAAATGCATCATGAGCAAATTCTCCCCCACTTTCAGCGAGAAATTTTGCTATTGCTCTAAGTTTGATTTCCATTTACTTTTACATTCTCATACTTAATCTTTACTCTGCATTACTGGAGTCTGGCAAAATCTGGTTACTAACTATACAAAGTTTAAAATGAATTTCTTTTTTCTTTATTCCACATCTTTAAATCTATAATTACTACCTCATCAAGATCTCTTTCTGATGACAGACTTGCTTATGGTTGTATTGGTGTCCTTCGGTATTTCTTACACATTTCACATTTGTGTTTGATCCCTGTTATAAGCTAATTACTCTTCATCTCTCATGTATGCATTCTTCACAAAATGTCTTAACTTTTTAAAAGCAATACAGCAATGTCCCAACTGGCAAATTGCAAATTCACAGAACTTCCAAATAAAACAATTTTTTTTGTTTTAAATTGCATCTGTGCTTTATTCATCGGTAGCCTATTTAAGACCAATTGTTTGCTGGATATAATATGTGCTAATAAAATTTATTATTTGAGTTGTTTTAGCCTTGTACAAAGAAAGACTATTCTTTTTTAGAACGTTTTAGTATGCTGTCATTTGCACATCCAAAGCTAGTGTTGCCGTCATATTCCTTATTTCGTTTTGAACATTATGAGTGAGAGAGTCCAGGTAGCACATTAGCGAGGATCTATGTACATCTAATGTCAAATGCTGCGCAACTGAAAGACTCTGCTACCAACACATTCATCACTAGGCTGAAACTTCTTGTGGCTATTTCTATGCCCTCTCTTCAATCTATGCCTCTATCTTCTTTTTCATGTTTAGTTTCAAAAACTCTGCTGTATGGTTTTGAATGTTTCAAGGAGTGATGGTCGCACCTGTAACATCAATTGATTACATCCTAGGCATTTTTGGAGTTTATGCTTCTCAAAATTGTTAAAATTATGTTTATTGCCATTTCTTTCAGTTACAGTTGTAATATCATACTGATGGCTGTGACCTGTATCTAGATGATTTCGTCAACCTGTTAATGCTGTGACTTCCATTTTCTGCCATATCACCTATTACTCCTTTACACATAAATATTGCTGGAAAGGAATGTTTCCAAGATGTTTTTTATTTAAAGTGTTTCTGACATTTCTTCTTGCAGTGTATTTATCTGCAAATGTAATGCTCATCAAAACTAATAGCCTGTCCATACGCTATGTTATGTCATGGTGTAATAACTTAAATGCCAGCACAAATTGGGAATTTTCAAATTACAGCTCATAGTCTTACGTATAAGCTACTGAATAAAAACCAAAAGAACTGTGGATGCTGTAGCTTAAAAACAAAAACAGAAAATGCTAGAAGAGCTCAGCTGGGCTGGCAGCACCTGTGGAGAGAAATCAGAGTTAACATTTCAGGTCGAGTGACCCTTCCTCGTAACTTGACCTCTGTTCTGAGGAAGGGTCACCCGACCTGAAACGTTAACTCTGATTTCTCTCCACAGGTGCTGCCAGACTTGCTGAGCTTTTTTGGCAATTTCTGTTTTTGTTACAATCTACTTCATCTATACTCTTCCATAGAACTTATCTTCTTTGTTTCTAAATTTGTCAAAGTCTGATCAGAGCTCACCAGCAGTCAGCAAATCATCTTCTTGATAAATTTTATCCATGAAAATTAATCTGTCCAAAACCTGTGTTTCATTGTCCAAATCTTCAGGTTTTAATTCTGAGGAATAAAAATCTTTTCTTCTCCTCTTGCTTCTCTATGGTAACAAAATGCCAAAGGCAAGACATTGTTTTCCATTTGCGAAAGAAGTAACCAAGATCCAAATGGTGACCTCCTTCTTCCATTGGTAGTGGAGTTTCAGGAGGTATTCAGAAAACAAGGATGGGGATCATACTCCAAAATTTTACATTTTTATTCAACCATCCTCTGTTAATAATCTCACACACAAAAAGTTAAATGATTTTAGGCCAAATACAGCCATGCACTTTCTAGTTAAGATTTTTACTTCAACCAACTCCACCCCTTATATCCAAGCAACCTCTTGGCTGTCTCTCCATACATATTTAAATACAATTAACTCATTAGTTTATGAGATAGTAGGCATTGCAGATGCTGGAGAATCTGAGATAAT